TGTGTGTGTGTGTGTGTGTGTGTGTGTGTGTGTGTGTGTGTGTGTGTGTATTTGGAGGTAATGGAGTCATGTGAGGTGGAGGGAACTTCTGGCAATTTGAAGGTGGAAGATGCCTGAGGTTTTCATGGGACATTTCTCCTGCTTCAGACATGGTCTAAGTCTGGCTCCACGTGAGGCAAATGACAGGGAAGTAAGATAGTGTTTTAACTTCCAGATAAAGCCAAATTCTGCACAGCAGTTCTGGGATACACTTTGTTCTATCTGACCCCGAAAGACCCAAGATAACTGTGCAGGCGTCACGGTATGGAGGCTGAGAATTTTGCATTTTTCTGAGTTATATAAGCCATATGGTTAGATAAACTCTTGTTCATCAACGAAATAAGGATTGAAAATGAAAACTAATTTTCACTGTCAAGTTCTTGGTACATAGGTTTTGTTTGTTTGTTTGTTTGTTTAAACTGTAATTCCAGAACTTAAAAACAAAGTGAACATTTTTTTAAAAAAAAAAATCTGATCAAATACCCCCAAAATTTGCTATTGGCCCACTTTATAATGAAAATAAATCTAAATTCTGCAGTGTTTAATCAGATTTCATTCCATTTTAAATGAGTGGAGGCAGAAATCAAGAGAACTCATTAGGATATTTAACAGAACTCACCTTCAGGCTTTCTTTAACCTCAATCAATCTGTAAACTTATCCCTTTCATTTACATCACTCAATATATGCAATTCTGGTTGTGGGTGAAGTAGTATAATTTTATCGACAAATGAATCCTCTCCTTCAAAAACCCAAAACTCCAAAACTCCATGTTCTATCATATTTACATATTAATTTTAAAAAGAAAACCTCCAGGACTTTAGGTTATAATTTCAAACATAAATTCAGCATTTGTGCAGAATTAGATTGCCCAGCATAGCTATTATAACTTTATTACTTTTCTCTTTTATCATAAAATATTTATTTTATCATTAAAAACATTTGGGTTTTCATAAATTAGGCATGGCAAACAATAAAAGAATATATCTTAGATTAAGACAAAAAAAAACCTGGATAAAAATAATTTGAAAACTGGCTCTCTAATCATATTAGGCTGGGGCCCTGATATTAGAGATGTCTTCTAAACGTTAATTGAATGGACCGTGTTAGTCTGTCTAGAAGCAGGGGTTTTCGATCTCTTTGTAGCTAGGAGATTATTACTCTTTAAGTGTATTTTGGAAATTTCTTCCTACGGCTAAATTGAAAATGTCTGATATTCTCAATTACTTCAAGCGTTTATGATTCTAAGCTCCCAGCAGAAGCCGCTGCCAAGGCGAGGAGGGTGAGAGCAGTTACTCAGAAGGACACTTATGTAAGAACCATCAGGGTGGTTGCCGGCTTGAAAGCAGGAAACTCTGCATTTCAGACTCGAGGTTAGAGGAATCTTGATGGAGCCTGGCCTCCTCTCAGAGCTGAGACAAATGGCTGGTGACTGAATCCTGAGACTGTCCACAACTTTGCTCTTTCATTCTTGCTGCAGCCCGGAAGATGGCGAGATCCATCCCGAAATCTGCCGGCTTTACATCCAGCTGCAATGTTGCCTAGAGATGTACACGACGGAGATGCTGAAATCCATTTGTCTGCTGGGGTCTCTCCAGTTTCATCGGAAAGGTACACACATGCAATAGGACGCCAGAAAGGCAGAGAAGTAGAGAACGAAACGGGCCTTCCACCTAGTGTCCATGCGCAGGCCCAGGCACACAAGCAGAAGGAATTTAAATGCTCGAAAACTGCAGGATACATGAATTAATAAAAGGCCCACATCACTGCTGTCCAAATGCATCAGGACTGAAACCATGTGCAGAGGAACTGTCCTTAAATGTATTATTTCACCACTTGTCCTTAAATGTATTATTTCACCACTTGTGAATGTGACTTTCATTAGAATCCGCAAAGGCTGCAAAGAATATACAAAGGTCTTAGTAGGGTAGTAAATGTTCTCCAAGAGCCTTGCTTCTCTAAATGAAATGTTGCAAAGAGGTAAATTGCTTATTGTGTCCCACTGACTTAAAAAACAGAAAAGAAAACTCAACAAATTGTATGGAGGCATAAGCAATGGTAAACTCACTCCCTGCCTTAAAGTACACAAGGAATGTAGTGACTTCAGCAACGGAAGTAGCTGGTAGCTGTGGCTTCAGCAAGGTCTGATGATATTATGATCCCCGTTCTAAGTGGGGCTCTGTCATTGAGATGTCAACTTTCCTCTCAAACTGCCCTTCACCCACATTAGGAAACTGACTACCACGGCCCTGGTCATTGGCTGTATATATCATTTGACTCATAAAGAAGGGGAAACTTCTCCCAATTATAAAACAAAAGATCCAGGCTTCATTCTAACTGAAACAACTTCTTTCTTGAGTCATGGAGGGCTCTGATTGTCTTACGCAGTTAAGGTCTGTCCATGAAGCTAGGAGTGGACTCCGCTCCATCCAACCAGTGTTATACCTAACATGATCGGCAGAGGTGGGGATGGAAGGCCCCTCAGATCCCATTAACCACGTAGTTGACTTACAGTTTCTTTTTAGTTCATCAAAGAGCTCCTTGGAAACCTCCTGAGCATGAACTTTCTGTGCTTTAGGCCAGAAAAAAATGGGAGCTGGAGATACATAGAATGTAATGGGGGCCTGTGGTTTAAATTTAAAGATAAGCAAGTTCAGTAAGCTGCTGGGGGGAGGAGAGGCTTTGGACGACAAGCAGTTAAAGACTTGAAATCAAATGAGTATTGTCACTTGGTGACAACAAAATGATGTGATAATGTAGCAGTAAACATCAAATTTTGCATATGCATATATGTGTATGCGTACACATATCTTCCAGAGCTAAAAGCAGGAGTTTTGCTACCTTGTCCCAAAGACAGGATAATAGTCTCTCAATACATGAGTATTATTTCTTTTCCTTCATCTTCCTAAAGGCTGATCCTTCAAGGATTACCATCTTCATGGCTGTGGTTAATAAGAGAAAGTAGGTTTAGAATGATCATCCTCATGACATTCCTGATGCCTTATCTAAAAAGTGAGTGTTCGGATACATGGCAACCAAACAGGAGACACCCTCACATACACACATGCAGGGCAACGCATTCTTTGCATTATTTGGGTAGGTTGGTGTCTTAGCCTCTGTCCTATTGATATGAAGAGACACCATGACAAAGGCAGCTCTTTTAAAGGAAGTATTCAACCGGGAGCTTGTTTACAGTTTTAGAGGTCTAGTCCATTATCATGGTGGAGAGCATGACCACAGGCATGGCAGGCATGGTGCCAGAGAAGTAGTTGAGACTGTGGCCGACTCTGTCTTACCAGGCCTTCTCATGGAGATGTGGATGGAGAAGTGAGGATAGACCTGAGGCCATGAGGTAGAGACTGGAGTAAAGATGCCTACAAATTCCAGGTGCGGTGGGAGAAGTCACAGGAAAACTATCAAGAGGCAATTCTTCTTTCCCAGGACTGATACATATGCGTAGCATTTTACATATAATTAAATATATGTGTCCCATATCAGCAGAAAGGGACCGTTTCTACATCTAACTCTGAGAGTTCAGATGACAGATGACTTTTCCAAGACATTATGTTGTTTATCCAAACAGTGGTACCTCTATTGTACCTTCAGTCTAAGAATGATCTAGACAGAGAACATCCACCAAGAATCTCTTTTTTTAATATTTTGAAAAATAATCTACTGTTTTGTATTTTATGTGCATTGGTGTTTTGCCTCCATGCATGTCTGTGTGAGGTGCTGTATACCCTGGAATTGGAATTTCAGGCAGTCGTGAGCTCCCACGTGGGTGCTGGGAATTGAACTCAGGTCCTCCAGGAAGAGCAGCCAGTGCTCTTAACTGCTAAGCCATCTCTCCAGCCTCCCCATAAGCGTCTTTATCCCCACCTCATTGCCCTCCTCCACTTAACTCCTCCTCCTTTCCAGTACTGGGTGTTGAACCCAGGGCTTTTGCATACTATGCAAATGCTCTGCCACTGAGTTACATTCCCCGGCCCCACTAATACGGTACCTTAACTTATAGCCTCTCCTCTCCACCCTACCTTCATCTCTTTCAGAAGTCAGGTAGTCCCCAGCAGCTCCTGAGGTTTGTAATACTCATGCTGACTTCCTGCTCAGAACCTCTACCAGATTTGTTTCTTTTAATGTTATAAGAAAAGCTGATGTTTTACTAATGTTTAGATGAGCTCCTCTCTTTTCTCTTTGGGTAGATGCCCATGGTTGACCACTGCTCTCCTCTTCAGCTTTTCATTTCCACCAAGGAAAGGAAGCAGCATTGTAATTGAGCTTCAAAACAATTTATATCAACGCCTCCCTGTCAGTGTTGGGCTGGGATTAAATACTGAAACTGAACTGCTTCATAGACATCTGAACACGTAGTTTGTTCTTATGTCTGTGCATCTCCTCAGCTCTACCAGAAGCTCATATGCTATTTTATATCTCACTTAGTTTTCCTATTGTATTGTGTAGTCAGAGCACACATTTACTTTTTAGAGAGAAAGGGCATACAAGGTCACTTCAGGAATTGAGAATACGGCTTTTTTTTTTTCTGGGAAAGTATGTCCCAAATAATTTTAGCACTCCCACAGTGAGCTTGTATTTAATAATGAAGATTGTCCTCTTCCAATTAATCATATTCTGTATCCTTGGTCACAACAGCATTTTAAATGATTTTCTTGCATATTCTTTGCTCTGTGTATAGAAATTTTTGCTATCTCATATGTCTGATTGGCACAAGGCATTTGGAAATATTATATGTTTTGCAAGATCATGTTTTTTGCCAAAGAAATGAAGAAAAATATTCCTAAAATGATTTTCCTTTTTCATAGCCAACAAAATTAAAGTAAATTACAGCTATGTGAGGTAAAAAAAAACCTACATTTAATAAACATTATTGGGTTATATCAGGTAGAGTGTAGCTCTGAAAAGCTGTGTTTCTATAGGATGATGACAGATGGGAATAATTTTAGTCATTTTGTAGTTTGATATTCTAACACTTTTAAGTTGTAAATTGGAGTACTGCTTCCTATAATCTCATTTCTGTGTTTATAGTGGAAAATATTTGTTCTCATCTCTTCACACCTAGTTAGGTAAGAAATCTGTTCCCATTACTGCTTGCATGCATTATGTTGACCACTAATGCCTGCTTCCTGCCACGGGATGAAGTGAGCTCACAGATTTCATTCATTCAGCTGGGCTGGCAGAAAATGGAGGAGGGCTGCTAAGGAAACTGGAAAATCCTGCTTTTTCGACCACTCTTTTCTTCTCATGTTCTCTTCCCCACTCAGTCAGTTACGAGAACTTGCCCATCCTAAAAAAAGCTCCTTTTTACGTGAATTTGCCTTTTCTACCCTTTTCCTTGTTGCTCTCATGTTGCCCTCCCTGCCTCTACTTACCTCTCAGCCACAGCTTACAGAAAAAGTGCCCCCCCCCAGTCATTTGAGGGCAAGAGACACACCCCACCCCCATCTTTCTGGGATAAGATGGATTCTTCCACTGAAATGTACTGCCATGGTAAATTCAGATTTAAAAATGTGTAGAGATGTGATCACCAAAAGGAAAAAGAGGGAAATGTTAAAAATTGACAAATATTCCTACAAAAGTGGATTGGGAGCCTGGGAATTGATAACTCAAGATGTACTGATGGGAATTCATGGTCCAGGTGCAGTGAAATACTGGATGAACCCAAGACAAAAATGAGTTACAGGCAGGAGAGAGCCCTGTCTATTCAGAATCATGCTGAATAATGTAAAGGAAATGATCCACACAAATGAAAGAAACAAGAAAAAAAAAGACAAAAATAGAATTTAGCCACAAGTAAATACTTTATTTTCCAGTGTGAGAAGGAGCAATTGATACTAAAATAGAACAGCGAGTTAGAAGAAATGAAGCAAAATAAACCCTAAAATAGAAACTATGATTGAAACTCGAAGAGAAAACATGAATTCATTCTTTAAGCAAATGCTCATTGTTCATCCATCATATGTGAGGTAGCCCTCTGGGTGCTGGAAGGCTTCAGTGACGGGATTGCAATGGCCCTGTGCTCAAGGAATATGTGGTCTAGAGGGAGGAAAGGGGAGACAAGATGAGGCCAGAGGAAGAAAGTGGGGAGGGAGGAAGGGAGGGAAGGAGGAAGGGAGGGAGGGAGGGAGGGAGGGAGAGAAGGAAGAAAAAAAGGAAGGGAAGAATGAGGCAAAGCATAGACAATCAAATTTTCCAAAGCTCCCAAGTAGCAGATAATTGAAATTGAATAGACAATGCAACAGACTTGGATGGAATGGCTACTTCAGAGGGGGGTAATCAAAGTCCTCTGAGGACATATCCTTGAATCTGACCTGAATAACAGAAAAGAAACAACTTCACCACAAACACAAAAGACCTTCCACCAAGAAGCTTGTCCTTTCTAAAGAACATACACATAGCCAGATTCTATAATCCTAAGGGTGACCTAAAAATATCTATTAACTCTATCTCTGTGTCTGTCTACACCATAGGGCGGGACTTTATGTAATAAGATACTGTACAGCTTGACCCTGACGCCCGTTATGGAAAAGTTGCAATTTAGTTAGTTTCATGGGAAATGCATCTTGCACACTGCTCTGCCCTGTTACATGCTCCAG